GCGATGCCACCTCCTGTACTCCCGCTAAATCTAACTTATATTTTAAGATTTCTTCTCCCACTGTCCTGAGCGAACCTGCCCTATACAAACTTCGAACATTCCAGTTGAGTTCTTAGTACACGTATTTATTCTGCTGTAAAAGGTAAAGTTGTTCCTTTTCTTAACTAATTAAGCACTACGCCATGAAGGAGTATTGTGGAGTGGATGTATAAATCCACATTTTCTTGACCTCGGCACTAGTTGGAGGTGAGTCGTCAGTTTCACGCCCCGGCTGCTTTACCCCCAGGGAAAAAGCACCCGGTACCCATTTGAAAGGAGGATGGGTGGACCCTAGAGTCGGTCTGGAAGACGTGGAGAAGAGGAAATTCTTGACCCTACTGGGACTCGAACAACGAACCTCGGTCTTCCAGCCCGCAGCCAATCGCTATACCGACTGAGCTATCCCGGCTCCTTATTTATTGTACTGTGCTTATACAAATTTGGGTGCAACGAGCTAGTGCATAGGTATCGTCCTTCACTTGAATTCGGGAGTAGACTGATCCGAATTTCGGCCTGGACACAGCCCATCATGACTGAGACTTTAGTGACCTACCTCAGCGCTTCCAGCAAATCGCAGAGATAGTATTTCGATTGCGCCAATTCCGCTTCTTCCCAAATTACTTCCAATTTATTATATAAACATGCGGCTCTACATATCCGAGCCCCTAACAGCGTCATAACCCCCCCCTCATATAAATTAAGTTGGACCTTGTCCGTTGCATCAACCACTGCCACAATCTTCGGAAAATCAGTACAACCATTCACTATAACTGAACTTGGTAGTGAGAGTTAAGTGGGGCTAGTCAGACTCGCTTTAACGCGTGGATAAACTCCGTAAGAAGACCAAATATACTCGTAGTATATCTCAGTGGTTTTCTTCAGTTCTTCCTTGCAAATGCTGAGATAACACTTCGAATGAAGCCACGATCGCTCCCTTTCCACACTCATTCGAATATAACATTCATCACCCATCCTCTCATCCAACGCTCTACAGACTCAGCTACTGAAATCGTCATTAAATTAATTAAACATTTCTGACAGACTGAACTATCATGGCTCATGTGGAGCCAAGCAAAACATACACCATCCCTGTATTATCTATTAACTCTACGTTTCACCCATTATGAGGCTGGATTGTTTGGAACGAAACCATCAGGTCCCAGCTGTTCCTATAAAGACGTGCACTGGAGGATAAAGTTTCGCTTCGAAACGTAAAGATACTATTGTCCGGGTGCCTAAGCTCCATCTTGTAAATCCCACACATCTAAATGTCAGCACTAGATGGAGGTGAGTGGTCAGCTTCATGCTTCGACCGCTTTATCCCTGTGAGAAGAGCCCCGAAGTCCACGGTAGTCTACAGGAAGCTGGTGATTCTCAGAGCCAGTATAGACGTCTTGGTGAAGGGAAAAATATTGTCCCTGACTGGAGTAGATCCGTGATTGGCCTGCACGCAAAATGTCTGCTACTTCAGGGACGAACGCCTGTTTTTCCTTACAGGTTATTTAACAACGGTTTCAGAATACAATTCAGATTATGTAGAATGGGATGGTGGGTTAACTGATGAACTGGAAAGAATTCGGAAGGAAGCAGTAGTAGCCTAAACGATGTACATCTTTTCATTCATGTAGTAGCCACCAATTTACCTGGCAGGATTGGGGAAAATCACGAAAAACCTTAGTCAAGATAGTCGGTGACCCATCAGAGATTCCAACCAAGCACCTCCCAACAGAACCTCTAGAGCAGCAGTGTCAAAGATGCGGCCCCCATAGCCAAAAAGTGCGGCCCCTCAATTTTTAGAGCTAATTGATATTAAAATCAATATTAACATTTTAGTAGAAATATTTTTTGTAAAGACAATTTTCCAACAGACCAGAAGACAAGAAGTCTCATGTAGACATAAATTAGCAGGCTGCAGGAAATTCAATGTTTNNAATGTTTTGCTATTTCTAACATAATTTCTTGTGTAATCTCTCTTTTTACATATTGAAAAGCTGTTTGATACTTGTCAAAAATGGCATTCTCTTGCTTTTTAAAACTGTAAGATATGTGACTTTAGGTAATTATATTGAAATTATTCCTAAATAATAAATAGAATTAAATTTCCTTGTATCAAAATCTAATGTATATTTCTATTTTGAAGTGCGGCCCTGGACTACTATTTATAGGGCTGAGGTGGCCCTCTGTACAAGTTGGTTTGACATGCCTGCTCTAGAGCAATCTGTCCAGTACCAACCCTTCATCCATCCCGCAGCCGGTCACTTAAGTGGGACATAACGCCTCGTTAAATATTATAAAATATACATTTATTATGTAATATGAATTATAAGGCATCTAAACAAATAAAATAACCTAAGAATTGAAAATAATAACTAATTCCATGGACCCGAGTCCTTCTTGAGAAGCCGCTAGTCGCTCAGCTACTCAAGAATTTCCCAACGCTTTACAGAATCGGAAGGTTCATTAGCGTGTTCACAAGAGCCAGATGAATCCAGCCCATGCCGCCTCATTCTTTTTCACTAAGGCCCATAATGATAGTTTACATAATCTGCAGTGACAAAATGGATCCCCCCCCCAACAACAAACGAGCGCCAGAAACCATTACATAAATTAGTCTCTGATAACAGACATGGAAAGGAAATCTGCAGTATTCTCAATATCTACGCGACACAATATGGCGCTGCGCACCTAGACAAACTGTATTTATAACTGTGTACTCAGAATACGACTGCCAGGTGCGTACATATGCAACCTTCAGCCCATTGTTTGGCTTCTGTTTGGAAGGATAGTATATTAACACAGGGGGCTAAGGAAGGAAGATGTCTTCATTTTCAAACTTCCTTCATTACAGACAGAGAAAATATACAAAGAGAACGACAAAACTAATATTGTATTTACGTATTTTGCCACTTCAGTTGGAAGAGGATGTCGTTATATAACGTTAATTTTTCAATTTGTAAACACATTTAGAGTACTTGAATCTTCCCAATTTTCGAAATAAAAGAGGGATTTCTAAATTGAGGCAATTGGGTCTGTGAAATAATTAATGCAACAAACTACGTGAAAGCGCCTGGAGCATCCTTCATATTTTTTCTTCCCGACCTAATGGCATTTGCTTCGGCGCACCTTCATGAGATCAGCACCTGTCCTACAGACTGGAACTGAGACCAGGTGTGCGACTAGCCTGCAATGCACTGATTTGTGCAACTTCTCCAAAGTATCGCAGTGGATCGGGAGGGAGGGGGACGGCCCTGTGATAAGACCAGGGATGGATAATAACTTGTTTTCAGGGATCTGATAGGTCTATTTTAAAGTGACCGCAGGCAGGGGAGTCTCGTGTGAAGAATTTTGTTGTTAAAAATGGGTGGAATATCTATGACTTATTTACAATATTTTATAGACAGATCTATATCAAGAAATATAAAAATGTTGTTGTTAGTAATAAGGGCACGATTCTGACTGGTGTTCTCAAGGTGTTAACACTGAATTACAGTCAATGTGGGCTAAGCCCTATTACACTTTCTCTCACACTCAGTTGTAGGCATCGTCTGGGTTATGGCATCGTGCAGCCTCGACGAGACTATATGGGTTTGTGACCGAAAGACCACAAGATGAAATCCTCAATGTCTTGAAACCCCGAATTGTATAGAATTCTTTCATCTTTATGTATCTACTCAGTTTGCTACTGCCGCCCTTTTATGCTATGTTAGGTGTACTACAAGCTGATAAGGAGCAGTGAGAATAAGAGACCCAATATCTGAACATGCCCGTGGATGGTAGTTTGTTCATCCCTGGGTTTGAAGGGCTAGAAGACGCCACTTATCGTATCAAAAACGTCTTACACTCACGTCACTCTTTGAGATTATCCATTACTTCATACATGAGAGAAGCCTCTTGACAATACTCGGGGGGGGGGAGCTCTTCATCCCAACCTACGGTCACTTACAGACTCGCATTTGCCTGCACAATATATGGGCAAATCCTTGTAGCTGTGGAAAGTGTTAACAAAATGTAGAAACGAGTACAGATAAGGAAATGGTGAATACTAATTTTACAATTGCACTTCATGTCTGCCACCAATGGCTCTACAGCCCTTTGTTGGGCCCTAGCAGCTTTTTTTTCAGATTCGTAATCCTATACACAGTCGGTAGAACTCCTTTGACGGGGGATCAGTCGGTCGCAAGGCCGCTACCTTCACACAGGACAACACAAACACAGAATAATAACGCACACAGACACCCATGCCTCCAGTGGGATTCGAGCCCATGATCCTAGTGCTCGAGTGGGCGAAGACATTTCATGCGTTACACGGTGCGGCCACTGGTGATCGGCTGCTTCATGCCTATTTTTTCCCCCCCTGGCACTACAGCCCCAGTGGGCCTAGACCTACCTCCATGAACTTCTCCGTTCACTTCGGTTTTTCAAGATCTTACACATACCTGTAGACAAACACAGAAAAACGCACACAAACATCCATGCCCTGAGTGGGATTCGAACCCACGAACACGGTTTCCGAGCGAGCGAAGACAGTGCATGCCTTAGACCGCTCGGCTACCGTGACCGGTGCTTCATGCCTATACCATCTAAAAATTTGTAGTATTGTAAAGAACTACCTGTAGATACCGTGTACACATCATAGCAGATGTCTGATCAAACGAAAGTAGCCTTGTACCGAATCCTTAATTGGCTATGTTCAAGAGTGGTGTAAAGCCTGGATTCAAACGATTCTACCTCTCAGGTAGAAAAAGATTACTGAGGGTCATTAACCAAATTTGCTGCAGCATCAGATTTTATCAGCACGAGGGAGTAATGTTCTACAGATACTGGCATCAACTTGCTTACGTCAACGTCTGGTCTCAGCTACATTCAAAGCACCACATCTGGCTTCTCAAAACGACAAACTTGCGTGTGTATAACAATTCTACAAAACGAATTTTTAATAAACAAACAAAATCGAAACATACCTGTTATCAAAGTTGCATCCATTGCACTTGATATTTACTCTATATTTCAAACACACTCGAAATGGCATTCAAAATCACACACATTTGTTAACGAAATCCTTGACCCATTGAATCAGTAGAAGGGGAAAAATACTCCTAACCTAGAACTCCCAAACGAACACCACATACTTACAGGATCTCACCGCGAACGCAACTGAAACATGAGATGGTCGGCCACTCTCTCTCTCTCTCGAGACTCGAAGTGAAGTGGGGGTATTAGGGGGCGTGACAAAGCAAAGCACATCATGGTTCAACACAATACTACTACGACTACACATCTACCTTTGCTCCAGTGTTGTGGGTTGTCTTATGAGGGCTTCAGCTTGTCAAGACCCCGCTTTTTCTTACCTAACGCCAAGTCGCGCTCTGAAATAAGCGAACACTGGTGATGCCAACTTATCAGAAAAAAATCATCACGTTGTAAAGTTTCCGCGTCAAATTGCTATAGTTTAAACCAAATTCCGGCATGAAAACAATACCTTTTACAGTGTTATAACGTAATTGCTTAAAATGACGCGCTTGGAGTGGTCAATTGATGTGAGACGATGTGTGGACCTTATTCATCACTAGGTACCAAAAGGGAATCATAACTGTGTGACACTGCGTAAACAACAGTAATTACTTTGTTTCTGCGCCAACTTGTATGAACTGCGTTTTATGCATCAGTTTCCTACAGAGAAAACAACAGCAATATGCAAGATTTTATCTGGAGAGACCTAGTGGACCAGACTTTGGTGCTGATGGGGGACTGATGAGTCCCGCTTCGCAATGGAGTCCCGGATATCCTTCCACCTGTCTCTTGGCTTATCATATTTACCTACCACATTTTATAACATCAACATAATAAACGAAACACTGAAACGTCAAGAGTCAACAGAATGCAACAAAGGATTTGTTGCTTACTTCAATTTAGAACAATGACCGGATAGACGTTGAGAGAGGGGTTATGTGTAGCTCAGTTGGCATAGTGACTAAGTTAAGGGCTGTACGTTCGGAAGGGAGAACAGATTTTTCTGTTTTCCATAACGTCCAAACCGTCTCTGGGGCCCATTCAGTATTTTATCGAATGGGCACCGGTGGCTCGTCCCTGAGTGTAAAGCGTCAGAGTCCTTAATATGCCTTTATAACATAACGCTTAATTACGNCGAATGGGCACCGGTGGCTCGTCCCTGAGTGTAAAGCGTCAGAGTCGTGAAGTTGACCACTCACGTCTGTCTAGTGGAGAGATCAAGAATGGTGGAGCTATACCTTCACTCCTTAATATGCCTTTATAACATAACGCTTAATTACATGATTAAGTACAGGGATAACTTAACCTTTATGGGACATTATAATAGACCAAAGAAAATTATTCTTCCCTCGACGTTAATGAGGGATAAAATTCTGTAATGAAGTGCATGAAAGGACGTCAGTGTTTCATAACTTTCTCATTTCAGCCTATCTCAGCAGCCGCGCGGCTTACGAGAGAAAGTGAATGTTCGGTTCGCGAGCACGAAACGGCACAGGGCATGGATGTTTGTATCAAATTATTGCTTCTCATTCGACTCATCACCAGAATCCCCACCCAAATTTGTGGCTGTATCATGGACTAGTCCCATGCAGATAAAGCGCTTGGAGCCTGGAACCGATTCCTGAGCCTGCCGTCCACATTTCCATAGTATTATCTTTGTGGCGTGAAATCTGTGTTACAGGAATGGAAACGAGCATCCTTTTGCTGCCGTGTGTTCCAAAAGAGAATAATACACAGGTGTAGGGCTATTTTGTGTTCAATTTCCTGTGGGCGTCGGGCACGATGGGGTCAACGAACCGTAGCCTTAACAGTACAAGCAATCTAAAGCAGCACAGTAAAGAAGACTGGTAACTATAGCAAGTTAAATACTAGCGCCATCAACAAACTGAGCTGCTCTAATACTTTCTTCCAACACACCCACCCCTACAGGAATCTGAACTTACGTATATAGACAAGGGTTATGAATTGCAACTGAAACAGAGAGACAAAAATATTGGAAGAAATAAAGCGACAAGAAAAACTGAGAGGGAAATAAAAGATTGCTCTCTTGGGATACTTACAGAAATTTCGGGATAGAAAAAAAGGAGGAAATTCTCTACTTCTTGTGTCGGCAGATGATTCTTTTAATGCTAGTGGGGTGGAAGTAACTCCCTTGTACTGCGACCAATTCTGGTCTATTTTGCCAGCCCCAGATGATAGATGAGGTTGATTGTGAAGCAATTGGTGGAATGAAGATTGGCAGGGGAAACCGAAGTACTCGGAGAAAACCTGCCCCAGCGCCACTTTGTCCACCACAAATACCACTTGACCAGACCCGGGATCGAACCCGGGCCACCGCGGTGGGAAGTCATCGACTAACCGCTTGAGCTATGGCGCGGCCGTCATAACATACCTGAGCTGTTAGTCCCACTTGATTCTGCACTATCCAAACTCAAAAAAGCAATGAATTTTGTGATTACTTTCATGAACTATAGTTTTACATTAACAGCATGTTGTTTCTAATTCGGCTATGTTCATTCAAACTGTCCAGGGAGTTAGTTCCCCATCGATAGGCATTCTTTACAGAGTAAAAAGAACGCCTTTTGTAGAAGTCACGTCTGTCAGTCTGTATGATCTAGTATCAGTGCCTGAAACGCTGGGCAGACTTTTCCGAAATTAGATATGACTTTCACAAAAAGTTGCAATGAAATTCCAATTTTCAGCCACAGTGACCCATAATAAAGTCCACTTTACTTAGATCATAAATCGTCTTTCACGTAGGGGCTGTACCGTATTCTGTTAGTCAGATTCCATAAACATACTGCAGGCACTTCTAGTGAACTGCAAAGAACGTCATTCGGTATGCTGTGTGGGTCTACTACATTACGCAATACAGCCTTTCGAGTCTCGTCAAGCCGAGGTCACAGTGGTACGGCATTGTGCGTGTATTTTGAAGGCGATAAGGCTCATTCAGTTGCAGGCTTGTTCGAAAAAATTATAAAAAATAGCTCCGAAACGATTTGAACAGACCACATATTCAGGCCTATGAACCGGCTAATCGAATTCTCTTGTGGTTTCGCTGAGGTCCTTCACTTTAATTTTAGGTGGTCGTGGTCAATTTCAAGGTACAGTCTCGCCAGTTTTGTGTAGAGACTGAGAAAACATGACAACGTTCGGTATGGATAGGTGGTAATTCAGCTGAGTCTCGAGGAATGCTAGGTAACGCTCCGCCAACTTCAGCGATCTCTCCCATCAATGTCCTTCTCTGTTTATCACTTGTCAAAATTTTACGCTCTTTCTACAGCATCTATTATTGAGCCGATGTAATAAAATAAACTAAGAAATAATTAATCTGTATGTAATGCCCTAGCGGCGTAGGGGGGCAATGGAGGTATCCCTCCCGCTGCCGCCGCTGTAATGCCGTGGTACAGGGGGGCGTGGAGTCAGCCCGCCTCTGTCACCACTGTAACTCCACATGTAGGGGCCGTGGAGGTATCCTTCCTCGCCTCCACTAGTTATGTCGTAAACTGGTACTCCTGGTAACGTCGCG